TTGAAACCAGTGTTGGAAGTACATTTACTCAAGTACTGTACTTCAGTAAAACATGTATTCTACTACATTTGGATGCAAATCATTTTCACTACACTACATTTATTTTATTTTATACTTTGTAGGGTTGAGTATTCATACTATATGTAAATCAAATAATAACGTTGTAATTTTATTGTACAAAAAGGCATGTTTATGAGGGTTGTTAGTAGAGACTGACCTTAGAGCGTGCCCTGCGGTCAGAGTAGCAGGCCCACAGCAGAGTGACCAGGTAGAGACCGAAGAAGGTGCACAGCAGAGCCAGCACCACAAAGTTCTCAGACAAGGTGGAAAACAACTCTGCGGTGCGAGATAAGTCCACGTAGTTTGGCATCACAAAGAAGGAGCTCCCAAAGAGAGTGAGGTGGTTACACAGACACTGTGTTCGCTCTGGAGTGCTTTTGTCCCCAACCTGAGATGAAGAGAGCACATCACTGTGCAACTACTGGTGCTATACGAGAACATTAACATGCATAACCAAAAGCAATACAAACCAGTACATCACTCTTTATAATGTTTGAAATGTACCTGGCAGCCATACATGCTCCATGTCTCGTTCTTTACGTCCCAGTACATACACTTGGCCGTAAAAGAGTTTATCCTTAGTGTCAGACCTGGTTCCCAGGAGGAATTCAAGAGTCCGGATTCAATATACCAGACTCCACGAGTATGCTGCAACATCTCTGGGGTTATCATCCAGCGATAGCCTTCTGTTCCACAAACCAACCAACATTACGTCATGACAAGAACCAATTGGTAGAAAACAATGAAATACTGATACATAAAAGTGGAAGCACATGCACGTCAGGCAAACAATGGTAAAAGGGAGTCTGTTGATGTTTGGTGTTGGTATTATACTCACCTGGACCAGAGTGGTGCTATTGCTACAGATCTTAAAACTTGATGTGTTAAAATGATTGAAAAACCGAGACTAGGGCATGCAGGGGTGACAGTTACCTGTGAGGCTCAAGATGGTTGTGTTACTGAAGTATGTGTCATTTGGAGGTGACCCTTCAGACAACCTAAGAACTAAGGTAACATTGGCATTGGGCTCCACAGTTAAGCAGATGGTCACATCAGGGTCTGAGACGTTGATTGTGGTAAGTGCTTTTGTGTTTTTTTCCAAAACAATTGTACTGTTCGTTGGTATTGAAGCATTTGGATAAGGCAAAAAGATCTGAGGAAACCATAAAAAACAAGTTACTTCTTAATTAGTCTTCCTATTTAGAATCAAAACAATATGTAGGAAGAAAATACATTGTGAGAGCACTGTGGAAAAGTGAGTGTCATCTTCTAGACTGTATGTTATGTGAATTGGTGTTCTTAAGTCTTTGACCATGTGTGCATATTATTGTGTATTTTAAAGATAAAAAAAACATTTTCTTCTTAAGAGTAGTATATTCATCACTCTTTCTCCCCATGTTCATGTGACCTTTGCTTGCAACCTAAATCCAAAAACATTAGCACTGTGGTACAAATGACAAAACCCACTTTTCATGTTGGCTTTACCTCTACCATCTCTGACAGGTTTGACAGATTTATTTCTTTTTTTTTACTACTAAGTAAAAGGCTGCAAACAGTTCCTGAGATTTGGACATCAGTTGGATGTGGATTCTTTGTGAATGTAGACATCTAACAAAAAGAAGAGCTCTGATGAAAAGGCTGTATATTACAAGGAAAATAAAGACACAAATAATACATGATAATAACACACACAGACCTGATAAGTGATACTGTCGTATCCTCCAAGCTGACTCTTAAGCGCTGCAAATGAGGGTAGTTTGATGAACACACCATCTTGCTCTGAACCCAACACAGCATTGCCTAGTCCGGCAGGTGTGTGACTAAAAGTAGGGAAATAAAATGTAGAATATGTCTTTAAATGTGACTTTTACTATATTTATTTGTTGTCCTTTTTTACTACCTCTGTAAAGCGACTTTGAGCACCTGTAAAAGCGCTTACAAAATAAATCTATTATTATTATTATTTAGAATATACAGTAAATGAGTTTGTACTTGGTACTAGTATTGATATAGTTGTAAATTAGTGAAAAGTTGCATATGTGTTTGTCATAATTAGGCGATACTCTGAAAGAAGAGACCTACCTGCTTTGATAGATGATGCCTGTTGGGTGCCTGATGATAAATTGCTCGGGGTATTTTGAAACCACCAGCTCTGAGATAATGCGAAAGATCTCAAAGACTTGCTCAAACAAAGACTGGAGAGAAAAAATGCACTGTAAGAGACACAATAACGACAAAATGTCCATGATTGCCTAATGCAGTACTTACAGTAGGGTTTGGGTTGTTCTTGATGTCACATTTGTTCATGGAGAGAAGGAGGATGCTGGTGCTGCATTTGATTATTTTAGTAACAGTGTCATTGTCTGGCAAAGTAGAGTCATCAAGCAGCTTCACAGTGCCAAGCAACAAATACTTAATGAAATTGTCCTGTGAAAGTAAAAAAAGGCTATCAATTAAGGTGCAATGATAGCATAAAACGAAAGGTGAAAATTGCCTCAATAATAATGCAATATTTTCGACAGGCTTTCCAAAGTGAAGGTGCCCACCCTGTTTTGGTTTGTGGGCTCATCTGCTGTTATTTCCATTCGCAGTAGCTCTTCTTCTGCTGCCTGTCTCGGAAAAATAGCACTTGTGAACTTTGAGGTACAATTAAATAACTATTAGTATTCAAAGGTTTTCATGATTCAAGGGTAAAACGGACTATGTGAAATAAGGACGCATCTCTCACCAGGAGAAGGCTATCAATATTTTCAACAGACGCCAGCATGTCAGATAAAAGAGTCCTTTTGGGCCCTAAAAAAGAGTGTCAGAGCAGTAGAGAAAACAAGTTTTTATGACTGTTCCATACTTTCATAGTTAATTGAAATGATGAGATACATCATGTTTCAAACTTACGAGATCTGGTTGCATGACTTGACACCATTGTGTTCTGAAAAGAGAACATGAACAAAACTCACATTTGAGAATAGACTTTTAATTTGGCTTCTTATTGACTGTGAACTGTTTCTCTTACCTTTGTGTTTGAGGCAGACCACTCATCTTAAAAACAAGAATGACACTTATAAAAGACAGCCTATTGCACACTATTGAGTATAAAGTGAAATAAAAGAAATAAAACTGTAATAAAACTTCACTCAGTTGATATCTAGGAAAAGAAAGGCAAGGAAAGACAAGAAAAGAAAAAGGTAATGAAGGACGGAGTAAGGCTATAGGGATAAGGAGGCTGTTGTTGCATACTGTGTGTGCAGAGAGATCCTCGTCTCTGGTTGCAGTCGGATGTTAAGATGAGCTGAAAAGGATCCAACTTTATGTAGGTACATTTTTCCTTTGAAACTTCAGCGTTTTCTGTTTTGGAAAACAAATGTGGGAACATAAACACGCACAGAGAAAAACTCTTAGCAAAGCTTAATTATTGGGACATTTCTATGAGAAACAATTGTGTGACCTTTAACAGAGTGAAGAAAATCAGATTGGTCTGAACTTATTCACTAATCTGTAATTTAGTCTGTTAGATGTCAAACAAAAGTGAAATATCTCTTACACCCAGAGCGCAGCGTTAAGTCTTTAAATTGCTTGTCTTTTCTAAACAACAATCAAAAACACTTTTAATGAGATTCATGCCTGATCAATAATTCAACAAATGAATGTAAAATAAATGTAATTTTAATTCACTTTAAAAATGTTGGTCTGATTTTTATCCCAAGAAATATTTGTACATGAATGAATACATAATGAATGAGAGCTAATAAGAATGTGGGGGTTACTATTACTTGTGCAGACGGCTTTAAAGGATATGAAAATTACATAATTAAAAAAACAGCGTGCTGCCAGTATCCTGCAATATTTTTTAAAGGTTTGTGCCTTCATTTTAATATATATATCCAAATGAAACCGAGCCTTACATTAAGGGATCATTTATTTTGTGAATACATTTTGCTTATAGTGAGTTACATTTTAGCCAGATGGCCTCTAATCATTAATAACATGTTTAACTATCAAACACTTTGCATGTAAAGCCTGGGACAGGAGATCTCAAACATACACGAGTCTCAAGCGAAAAACACAATTAACTATTAAAGAAAAATGCACCGACAAAAGAAATGCAGCGTGGGTGTACTTTACTCACTTGTGGTGGGTTCCTGGTGCTGCCCTTGGACCCCCTCCCCCAGCCACCAGGTGAAGTTGCTGATGTTTCCCTCTCTGGAGATGTTCTTCAGGAACATTTGTATCGGGGTGTTCACCACCTTTAAGAGATCCCCTCCTCGGTTTGCACAGCTGCTCCTGGCTTGGGACCAGGTTTCAGATCCCCTAACAAACTCAAAACAGACATTTCTGAATACAGATTGACACTGCACAGGGAGGTCGTTGCCTGAAAAGGCGTCAGAGTTTTCTGGTAAAAACAAAAATCCAACTGAAAGACAAAAAAAGACAGATATTTGCAGTAAGGTGCCCATAGTTATTATAATGTACAGAGCTAAATCACATAGTGCTGAAGGAGCTGTGGATGATCTGAGCAAGATCACTTCCGTCTTTCACATGGAAATGAGAGAGCTTCCTCCAGAAAAACTCTGCATATGTTCTCAATATATTAGGAAAATCAGTAAAGACACTCAAACAAGATGCAAAGTGAAGTTGGCATCACGAAAGGTCACACAATCTGAACTTCCCATACTGACATAGAGCTCATTTCAACTTTTGTTTTGCTCCTCACATGAACAAAATTATATATATATGTTATATGTACTATGATCATCATTTCTTGAAAACGAAAGTCTTATTCTCACATGAAATCACCCTTACAACTAATTACCTTTATAATACAGCTTGACAAGCACCTCCACTTTAATGCATGACCAACATCTCTGCCCCGCTTTTCACACAATCCTCTCATTGGTGGAAATACTACTGGCGGAAATATCGCGAGAGTATGTGAAGGAAGCTGATACCGCGTGTGTTTGTGTAACATGTTAAGAAATGCATGTCCTTTAATGCAATGACAGAAGCGCCTCCATGGCGGGACATATGAAGGTAATTCCAGAGATGATCTAACATCGTATATTATGAAGGACAATCAGATAATTGGAAAATCCTCCACTAAACTTGATGTGACCGTTTCTTGTTTTCTAGCTCGGTTGCTCCGCCTAAACGTAATGTTAAACCACGAAACACCTCAAGTTAGCTTTGCTTTCTTTGCATACTGAAACACATGCTGTGGGGTGTTTTGCCCTTTGAAAATAAAGGTCTCTAAGTCAGTGTAAGAAAACTGCATAACGACAGAGGTTTAGGGTTATGATTTTACGAGTATGCAGCTCTTACTGAGACTGAAGTATTAGCCCCCTACACATTGTAGCCAACATCTAGATCTAATTACTAACAACATAGGTGAACTTTATCTATGTACATTCACTTTAGTAGCCTAATGTACTTATTATACTTAGTATAATTTTGATACACGTTTAGCCCACCTTAATATTTGGTTGTATGCTACTTTATAAGCTACAGAGGTCTTCAACAGGGGGTCCGCGACCCCCAGGGGGTCGCGAAATCTTTGGTTGATTAGAGAGAAAAAAGAATTTCTTTAAAAAAAAAATGTTTTCCAAACATTTTTTTCCCACAAATTGAAATGTCTTTAAATGCACATTAACATGAATCCAACATATTGTAGCGAATGGAGAAATCAAGGCAGAAGACGTTATCTTCTGCTCCACAACCTTTCTCCGCCAGATCGTCAAGTGTCAGCCGTATCTCGCGTCTCCCCTCCGGTACACAGCACCGTAGTGTGGAGTTGCATTAGGTAACGCGAGATACGGCTGATACTTGCGCATTAGTTTCTGTTATGGATCAGTATCAACAGTCCTGCCAGTAACGTTACTATATTATCAATACTACTTTAGTTATAGCCTGATATATGATTGCTAACTTTACAATGTTGTGATGTGACTGACGTTAGCTAACATTCCGTAGCTAACGCCGGTCACTCACCAAGACAGCTGCCCTGTTCTCCACTGGTTCTCCTCACACCAAAGCTCCTTTTCTCGCTGATGGCCGTTATTTTTTCTAATCCTTGGCTGCTCCTGGTCTCAAAACTGGCATTGTGATCCATGTTTATTCATACGTTAGACCGGCCGCTCTCCCCCATGTTACGTCACACGCGGGAGGTCACGTGCGGAAGTGAAAATGTCTTACCAAAACGACGCCAGATGTCACTGTAGTGTATATTTCTGTATATTCTTTTGAAAATCTAGTGTATTCATCATTTTCCTACACATTTATTCACTGGTGTCTCTAACCTGCAAGTTGCTCTTTAAAGTTAAAACTTGAAACTGTGAATTATTTTAATAGCTCTGTGTTGTGTTCAAGATGTATGTTTATAAATGGCAGTGGCACGGCCACCCTGTACCTTGCACATGTTTAAAATAAAAACATGAATATATTAACCTGTGTATTATTTGAATAGTTTAGTATTGAATGTACAATAACAGAGTAGCTATATTTATACACGGCACTAGGCCCCGTTTAATATAAAACACAATTGTATGCCATACATATAGTAGGGGGGTCCCTGCTCCAGCTCTCCATCAGTTTGGGGGTCCCTGGCCTGAAAAACGTTGAAGACCCCTATAGACCATAGACGAAATTAGCTCTGAGAGGGACAATTTAACACAAAGTATTTTCATTTCATGTTAATACCTTATACTTTAACTTAAGTAATATTTTGAAGGCAGGAATTTTAACTTGTAATTCATTTTTTTTAAAGTATTTGTTTACTGTGGTAACCATGGTAAGGAGGGACTCATGACATGGAAGATTTGTAAAGAAATTCAATTAGAATGTTCAAATAAAAACACAGATTTTCTTCTTTAAAATATTAATATAAAATGAAACAGATGTGTCCTACTTGTCAAGTGTAATAATACAATTCAGCATTAATTTGTAAACATTAAGTCAGAGGACATGGAACTTAGACTTTTAGAGAAACTGCTACATTTTTGTTACAATTTCCATATATAATTTAAAATCCCAAAGTTTCATAAAGGTCTTTAAAGTACATTATTTTAGTAGCTTGTGTAAGTATAGCCTAGTTGACACAGCTTAATTGGAAACTATGCCAGAAGAAGCATAATGATGGTGAGTCATTGGTGTAGTCGCCAAGTAACATAACCAGTGTCAGACATTTTCTACAGTATTCGTCAGAGACCAAAAATAAAGCTAATACTATGGGAATATTGCATAAACATTTGCTATGTGGACAGAAACACAACCCCAAATGCATTATAATGTAACTGTTGGATGTATAGATGAGCAAAACGTTTGCTATATCAAATGAATGAATAATGATATGTCAACAACTTCAATAGACCTTTTAACAAAACATAGTTTACAACAAAGGGTATTGTGGAAGCTGTGTCACTGCAAACATGTTTTCATTAAACTATTAGCAGCCTTTTCACAGTAATTAACGTCTGAGATGAGTCCTTTGAAGGCACAGTCTTATGTTTTCATTTTTGTTGCTCTTGTCAACAGAAGCAGTTCAAGGACGCATTGAAGATCATCAGCTCGGGTAGCCTTCTGTTTGCCTCCTACCTCACTGCATTGGGAGATGAACGTTTCTATGCCAATCAGCTGATGCCCCTGCTGCAAAGGTGTGTGGGGGCAGAGACGGCGCATGTGTTGGCAGTGAAGATGATCGGTCTGGGGCTGGTTCCTCTGAACCGCTACCAGGACCCCGCATCATTGGTAAGCATATAACATCACTGTTTAGTCACATCACTGTCCATTGATCCTAGACATCGTGAGACTTATTTCTGTTTGTTTTTATGCATCCACAGGAAGTGAAAGTCCTGGGTTTAAAGTTCAAAAACCCAATTGGGATTGCGGCGGGCTTCGATAAGCACGGAGAGGCCGTCGATGGGTTGTACAAGGTCGGATTCGGCTTTGTTGAAGTGGGCACAATCACTCCCAAACCTCAGGAGGGGAACCCCAAACCACGTGTGTTTCGACTCACTACAGACCAGGCCATAATTAACAGGTAAGTTTCCGATATGCTAAGGGGAAAGGGGTCGCCATTCTGAGGGTGTGTTCATCTGAATAATTAAAAAAACAATTACATGTAGGGCTTGGCAATATGGTTGAAAAGAATGTGGCACATTGACACAATCAATTGATTCGGTGCTTTTCACATAGGATTTGCATTACGCCATTGGTGGATCATGTAGATGCTAATTTTTTGTTGCCATCATTATTGTAGAAATTCATTCATTTAAAAAAAATTGTATTCATCCACAATGTTTAGTTGATTGACACCCTACTTTGTGTAGATTCTTATAAATAATTCAATTTATTTATATAACTTTAAGGAGCCTAATTAATCTTTGTCTGTTTTAAAATCCTTAAAACTGAAAACAGGAGCAGGGTAAGGTAATGTTACTGACACTGACTTTAATGAGCTCAATGAAGCAAATCTTTATGCAACAGCTCTTTCCTGCATTTGTTTTTTTCCCTGTGAATTATACATGGTAACATGTGTAATTTATGGTCATTTGTATTCATGAGGTATTACATCAGACAATTCAATGAATTAAAGATTTGCTGGAGCTTGACTAATCTAAATGATTCCATATTGGAAAAATATTTGGTATGTTATGTACTTGTAGTATTAAGTTCACTTGATTGAATTCCTTCGAAAAGGATGACCTAGTTACATATCATTTGTAAAGCTGTACAATATTGACACAATATTATCTTTGGACAGTGCCTTCACTCGTGGATATACAGTTACAGTATACAGTATACAGTGTTAGCACATGCAATGTGTATAATGCAAAGATAAATATAATATTCTCTCCGACATATTACAATATATTATTCATATAGTATCATGCAGATATACTGACAAATAAGAGCAGACCAGCCTGGAAGCTGCAAAAGGAGTTTTGATTTTATAACAAAACACAAAGACAATTAATTTAACTAACTTTATAGCTTATAAGCATATTCCTTAAAAGGCCAAACACATTTCTATCCCTAAGACGGAAATTAAATAATTGTAATAAGATGTTGTGAGGGAGGCGTGTGGTGCAGTGGGTTGTGCCTTGGTGTTGGGATCAGGGGGTCACAGGTTCAAACCCCACTGCAGTCAGCATGTGGTTGTGTCCCTGGGCAAGACACTTCACCCCAAATTGCTCCTGTGGGGATTGCCCACCGTTTTGAGTATGTAAGTCGCTTTGGATAAAAGCGTCTAACAAGTGACATGTAATGTAATGTTCACATCATTATTCGTTTAACACACACTTTAGCTATTATTATTATAAGTAATGAAAAATATCTCATTATTTATATTTGTAAGTTGATATTTAAATAGTTGTTATGTGTGTTTCACACCAGGTATGGATTCAACAGCTGTGGTTTGGCCGAAGCTCAACAGAGGCTGAAGGCCAGGGGCGACACACAGCAACAGCAAAGTAAAGGTTAGCAGTTATTACTAAAACCTGATATAAGTCTATCTTTTATATTTTGGTGTTCATTTAGAATATTTAACAAAGGAAGCCATATACTAAATTGAGTATTTAATTAAATACACTGTTCTTTTCTCTTTGAATGATATAAGCCTGTCCTTGTCTCACATTTATTCTGTCTGATCCATACCTACTTAAAGTTCATTTAGCACATCAGCAGCCTCTGCCACAGTTGGGTCATTTGTCTGGCGATGCAGCCTTTGTTTGTGTTTGTCTCAACCTTCCTGTGTGTGTTTGCATATGTGTGTGTGTGTCTGTGTTTATAGCTGGCTGTCCCCTGGGCATCAACCTTGGGAAGAACAAGCTGTCCCATGACGCAGGAGCAGATTACTTGGAGGGGGTGCGGGTGCTCGGCCCGCTGGCTGACTACCTGGTGGTCAACGTCAGCAGTCCCAACACGCCGGGTCTCAGGGATCTACAGGGGAAGGAAGAGCTGCACCAACTCCTACAAACGGTGGGACTGTCCAAACATTGAATTACTTTCTGGTTTTGAACCTTGCACTGACAAAAAATCTAATACAATGTCATTTTATCATCTGGCCCTTTTGTTTAGTCTTTCCCCTTGAAAATTATAGTTGAATTCAATTTACATGTATAAGAAAGTTATCATATCAAATGGCCAGTCTTAGCCTTACTAATAAACAATTATCAACAACTAATTTATTTTATACAGTATACACAACATTAACAATATAATCTTTAAGCAACAAAACTAGTTTGCACAAAATCATGGAGTTAAACTAGTCGAGCTAGCCTTTGCCCCTCATAAAATAAGACATATCTCAACAAAAAAACAAAACAGGGAATAAATAAAGAAAATTGGATTAGCCCAGCTGGCAGTCAAACTCAAACTCAAGCATTACTGTTTTTGTTTTTTGTTTTATCTGATCAGCTTATACCATGTATGATGGTTTAAACAGTAACTTAACACTTAATTAAGATATTTCTTAATTCCCTGATGGGCAAGCTACAGCGTTGGGATTCAAATGTGTTAAATGGA